ATTAAAGGCATTTTGGTTAAATCAAACAAAAATTTCTAGTTATCATGATAACACTCGATTTTTTATAATTAGTTTTAATAGATTTTACTATAAAGATTTTACTATAAAGATTTTTTAGTATTTTCTGATTGGATCTATAAAATTTCTTGGTACATTAATTTCTTTGCTTGCCGCGCTAGGCGGCGAGCCACTCTTAACTCGTATTCAATATTTGTCATAAAATGTATATAAAGAACTAAGTATTAACATTAAATTCAAAGTATATTTTTTTTCTTATGAGCAATAGTGAGAAAGAGGACGCTAGCTCTCTGATTGTGTGTTTGAGCTACATCCTCTTCTTGCATCACTGTTTATCAGTTTAATTTCTAACAAACTGAATTTAAAATAATTTATTCAATAATCTAGATTGAATTTATCCAATAATCTTGTTGGAATTCAGAATATTAAACAGACTTTTGAGATGGAAAAAATTTTAGACGACTTGGTGCTGGCGAGTTTAGTATCATTAATCAGAAAATTTGGTAAATTTAACAGGAAGAAATTAATCAGATTCATCTGGTAATTCCTACAAGAATTCTGGTTCGTCTATTTTTCAACAGACATACTGGTTGACCAGAATTCTAATTAATGCAACCAGACTTTTTTCTCAGTGTACATACAGGGTGTCCTAGACACCCCTTTTCTTTCAAAAACTAAGCATTTTAGAGAAAAATGTTTTCGACAAAAATTGTATGGTTTTGAGGGGAACATAAGATGGTGTCATTGGTTTAACCTTAGATGGTCATCGTTAAGGTCAGATTAAGGACACATTTAATTTCTTAAATGGAACCACCTATTTTTTTATTGCATATTCTTATAGCTTATGTCGAGAGCTTTCCAAAACACTATAATAAAATATTTTTTCATTGAGTACTTTTTGATTTATGAGGCTTAAAATAATGTTTTAATTTTACATAAACTATAAAATATCTAGTAAAATATTTATTTTTCGATTATCTTATCTTAATACTTTTATGTACAAAATAATGAGAGAAATCAATTGATGTAAAAAAACACATAGTTGTTTTAAAGAAAAAATATGTAATTGTTAATTGCAAATTACATATTTTTTCTTAAAAATAACTATATGTTTTCATTACATCAATTGATTCCTCTCATTATTTTATACATAAAAGTATTAAGGCAAGATAATCGAAAAATAAATATTTTACTAGATATATTACGATTTATGTAAAATTAAGAAATGATTTCAAGCCTCATAACTCAAAAAGTATTCAATGAAAAAATATTTTATTATAGTGTTTTGGAAAGCTTTCGAGATAAGCTACAAGAATATATAATGAGAAAATGTAGGTTCCATTTAAGAAATTGAAAGTGATCTTTACATGACCTTGACAACGCTATTCAAAGTTATACTAATATTACTATGTAATGCGTTACTCGAATAGCTTTTGTGGGAAACATTTTTGTCTGCCGTTCTCGATTTTTGAGATATTCGGCTGGCACGGGTGGTCTGATACACCCTGTATATAGAGGGTATTCCAGATCACCCGAGGAAAGGCGGGTAGTCCCGGACAGCGAGTAACTCCGGACATTTTAATATCTCTAATACTAAAACTGCTTAAAAAAACAAATGACACGTTAAAACATGTCTGTCTCAGCACATGAACAATTACAAATCAGTAATAATATGTATGCCAAGCGGATCAGATGTTATAATCAATTTTATTCCCGTTAAGAGTGATATTACGAGGCCCATCAAATTTTGTCGACACTTATTGTTCATTAAAAGTAAGTGCTGTTACATGTCTGATTGATTTTAATATTAACAATTAAATATAATTTAAGATTCTTATACATTTAATCAATTCTTTTTACATTACATAAATTAATTAATAAATATATTAGATCAAGTCAATCGGGTATCCCCGGACATTAATATAGCGGGTACCTCCGGACATATTTATTAACTTTAAATTATAAAAATAATACATTTTATTGTTGTAATTATCAGTTTATACTATTTTAATATACTAAATAATATTTTAATATACTAAATAATGAATGTATTACATCTCATTCTCATCGCATTACATCTCGTTCACGAAGAACACAGAAAAGTGAAATTTTAACATCGTCTTCATACATAGATGAACTTGTTGCAAAAAGTAAAGATACTAAAGGTACTAAAGATGCTAAAGGTATTACTAAACAACGCAAAACAAAACAAAACAATCAAAATCTTTTTCATCAAGACGAACATCAAAACACTCAATGCATTGCTTACGGAGAAACTTTCGAAGAAGATTGGATCCAATGTAATAAATGCAAAGAATGGGCACATGAAGAATGCGTAGACATTGATCCTTCAAATATATATATATTATTATAAACGTCACAATAAAAATATATATATATATTTTTTTATTGTGATGTTTATAAGAACAAAGAATAAATAATTGTTGAAATATATGTCCGGGGCTACCCGCCATTTTTTGACTGTTCAAAAATAGTAGTAATAAGTTATTGATTTTTTTTTCTAAGATAGTTTAAGAAAAATGTTCTTTTTGTTAATAAGAAATCAAAAAAGTTCAAAGTTTATTTTGCAAAAGAGTAAATTTAATTAAAATCTGTTGATTATATATTATTTTATGCGTTTTATTTAAGTGTCCGGGGCTACCCGTCTTTTCCCTACACCCCTTTTAAAATAAAAATAAATGGCTTTTATCAAAAATCGCGAACAATTTTTAAGTAAATCGGGTACGCTCTATCAAAGATGATGGCTCTATCAAGTGGTATTTTCAACTTTTGATTCCGATCGGAAATACGTTATACAGATCGAAAGTTGAATTTTTTTAGGGGAACATGATATTTTTTATTACAGATTCGAATTGAACGTTAAAAAATAAGAAACTTTTGTATCAAACGTTTTTCCTGAAAGTGCCTTTGTCAATCTTAAAAATGACTTGAAAGTAAGTGTCATGAAATAATGAAAATAATGACTTCAAATGTTAAGATTGATAGAGGCATTTTCAGAGAAAACATTGATACAAAAGTTTCTTATTTTTTTACGTACAATTCGAATCTGTAATAAAAAGTACCATGTTTCCCTAAAAAAATTCAACTTCCGATTCGGATGGCGTATTTCCGGTCAGAATCAAAAGTTGAAAATATCACCACTTGATAGAGCAGACCCGATTTACTCAAAAATTGTTCGCAATTTTTGATAAAAGCCATTTATTTTTATTTTAAAAGGGGTGTACAAGTGATCTGGGACTCCCTGTATATTATATATATACAAAGTGTTTCGGTAAATAATGAGCAATCTCTTATGAACATATAGAATAAAAATAACTTTATAAATTCCTGTCTTTAAATGTCTTTTAACAACATATATCTACCAAGAAATTTGTTAAAATTAAAATTTGAGAAACATTTTTCTTAAATATCTGTTATATTACTCTATAGATTTTAATAATATATGATAATTAATTTTATATTAAGGAAAGATCTTCAAAATAAGCGTGATTTTTAATACAATGTTGGACAACTAGAAGCGGACTACCTATAATCTTTTTAACTTATATAATTTTGGAGTCGATCGGTTTCTTTTATAGGTTATTTTAAATATGTTTTTAGATTTTTCTCCCTACATTTTTTTAAAAAAAAGGGGTATCTTTGTTCCATTTCCTCAAAACTATTTTCGAGAAAAACACATTTAATCGATAGAAATTAAACGATTATGATAATAAAATAATGAGAGATAATAAAAAAATATATTGTAGAAAAAATTTTATAAAAACTGGAGTTATTTTTTTCCTTTCTACATGTTCATAAGAGATTGTACTTTACCGAAAAATCGTGTATATACAGGGTGTCGCATACCACCCGTATCAGATGAATATCTCAAAAACTGAGCGCGGCAGACAAAAATATTTCAGACAAAAGTTGTAAGGTTTCAAGTAACGCATTAAACGGCGATATCAGTTTGATTTTGAATAGCATCGTCAAGATCACATAAAAAATAAATACTTTGAATTTTTTAAATGGAAATCCCCATTTTTTATTGCATATTCTTATAGCTTATTTCAAGAGCTTTCCAAAACACTATAATAAAGTATTTTCCTCTTAAGTACTTTTCGAGTTATGAGGCTTGAAATCATTTCTTAATTTTACATAAACCATAAAATATCTAGCAAGATATTCATTTTTCGATTATCTCATCTTAATACTTTTATGCACAAAATAATGAAAGAAATCGATTGATGTAAAGAAAACACAAAGTTGTTTTTGAGAAAAAATATGTAATTTGCAATTAAGAATTACATATTTTTTTTCAAAAACAACTTTGTGTTTTTTTTACATCAATCGATTTCTCTCATTATTTTGTACAGAAAAATATTAAGGTAAGATAATCGAAAAATGAATATGTTGCTAGATATTTTATGATTTAAAATTAAGAAGTGATTTCAAGGCCTATAACTCGAAAAGTACTTAGGAGAAAAATATTTTATTATAGTGTTTTGGAAAAGTCTCGTGGTAAGCTACAAGAATATATAATAAAAAAATGGGGTAATATAATAATAAAATTTCCATTTAAAAAATTCAAAGTATTTATTTTTTATGTGATCTTGACGATGCTATTCAAAATCAAACTGATATCGCCATGTAATGCGTTACTTGAAACCTTACAACTTTTGTCTGAAATATTTTTGTCTGCCGCACTCAGTTTTTGAGATATTCGGCTGATATGGATGGTCTGCAACACCCTGTATATGTACGCTTGAGAATAAAGTTTATTTCAATATAATGTGTATATTTAATTATGCATATTAAAAAACGAATTTGAGTTTCGTCTTTCTTATTATTTAATAATAGTTACTTATTTTTTAACATATTATACTCTTTATTTAATAAATGTTTTATTTTCCCGTGACAAACGGAGAATAGCTTCGAATAAATTGGAGCTCGTTAATCGTAAGAAGAGGTCAGTAGTGCAGTTTAGTCATTCGTATAAGAGCAGCTCGAACATCAGTAACTCCATTAAAGTGGATCAACGTTGCACGGTGTCACGATGAACGTGGTAGTGATACCGTTCTTCTTAGGTGAGAATTTTGAATTGTCGTCGCCAAGATCGCGTAGACGACTCGGCCGATTCAAATCGGAATTATTCGCCGCTTCCCGATATTCTTGCGATCGATTCTCAGTTTGTTTTGAATTAACATATCTTTCGTAAGTACTAGGATCAATACCGGATAACGACAAGCCGGATTTGCGAAATCGAACTTGATTACGTAATGCAAACACTTACCGGAAACCGTGAGAGAATCGCCTTTAAGCTGAGAGAGATAAATAGAAATATTTAATCGTGCGCATTGACGTCATACTCGTCGCTTTAATCAAGCTCCATTCAAGCTGCTAAATGGCCGGCCATTCAGACTGGTCATTCTCGCGGGCGGGCGACTCGGTCATAAGTAAACTCATCGCCCCACGCGCGCAATGATACGATGATGCTTCTTTTTTTTCCCTCAGCCGCGCATCTCACTGTTGATGAGACGTGGTCGCATGGACCGGAGTACACGTTTCAGGTTCAGGTGAACTGCACCGCGATCCCAGAAGAAGGCGTTTATGGTAGTGTACGGCTAAATTTGGAGTCGAAATTGATCTGCCAACCATTGAAAAATGGCGATTCGTTAAGCTGTCATTTTGAGGACTCGAAAGCGAACAGTTTCGCTGCTGATAGTCTAGATCCATCGGAACCGGCGACACCAACTGGACAAGTGAATCGACAGCCGGCTTATGAAATCAACGAGGATCAATTTGAGATCAAGTTCAACAAGCGAGGACTAGACGATCTTATAGTGAACGAGAACATTCAGCCGCGCGAACTCGATATGGTCAGAATGATCGTGGGTCAGTTAAGCGTGGGTGCCACTCTAGATGATATCGGCAATGACGTGTCTTTCGATGCGATGGAGAACTTTACTCAGGGCGAATGTTATACGACTTTCAAGATCGATAAAAAGCTTGTGGATCGTTCATTGTATGCGAAACCAGCTTACGCGCTTAGACCGACCTTTGGATTGAAGGATGGAAAGCTGGTGCAGATACGAAAGATCAGGAATCTATACATGTGCGCGCATAAGGTGCCGTATTTTTTTGGCAGCGCCGACAGTTTCCGAGAAGAGAGTGACATTATATCTGACGCAGTAAGGATCGACTTCGTATCTTTAATTTTTTTGATATTTGTCTTTCCTTGCTTTATGGATAATTATAGTATATATACAATAATATATACAATTTTTATATACAATTTTTATATATAAAATAATATATATAATTTTTAATGTTTACAAATTAATTTGTTTATAAGATATTAAAATTTTATAAACGAAGAAATAAAATATAGTGCAAAATAGCTTTTATACTTTAATATTTAATTATTATTAGTTTCACTATAAATTATAATATTTTAAATTTAATTAACATATAAAAGATATAAATATATATATTATAAATTTGAATATTTGAATTTGAAATTTAATTAACATACAAAAGAAAATAATTAATTATAATATTAATAATTAATTATAATGTTACAATTATCCCTACGACAATAAAAAATACATTTCCTCTGTTTCTGTCATAGAGCTTGTCGGATGGACATATCATCATAACATCGACAGAATTCATATCCGGTACATCAAATGTAATAACAACGAGTAAAATAACGGAGGAAGTGGTAACAACTCTTTACGAGAATGTACGGCTCAGGCTCGAATCGATCCAACCCGCGGAAAGCGAGCCGCCAGCTGTGAAAGAAGCGGAATCTGTTAGTATCTTTATAGGCAGATGGTTAATAGACAACTCGTCCGAGGAAGATAATTAACATATCAAAAACAATTGTATTATTTACAAATGCGATATACATGGATGACGCGTGTGAAACAAGAAGATAAGAAATTCTTTTATTCGAAGTGTGACTTATCTTAATTTGATTTATCTATTTCTATTTAACGTGTAAATTAGAGTTATATTCAGGTTGCAGCAATGCATTTTCATGTTTAAATTGCAAAAATTATCTTGTGCCTGTGAATGATATCCGCGATAATTATAAATTAAATTAAATTATAAAATTGTTATAATCTTAATTATAAATAATAAGAAAAAAGTGTTGTTACGAAAGTGTATTTTAATATACTAGAGTGTACAGTGATAACATAACCTTATTTGTATAATATTATAATCGTATAATATTATAATACGATTGATTTTATGAGAAATAAAGATTATATATAATAAATTACACATTTATATATTTTAAATGCTATTTTATATATGTTCATATTATTTTATCTATCTCCTGTATATATATATATATATATATATATATATATATATATGTATGTATATATATATATGCATATATATATATGTATGTATGTATATATATACAGGAGGTAGACAAAATAATATAAACATATATATCTAACAAAATATTTACACATCTTGAAAAATTGCATTATTTAATAGAAGAATGGAACAATATTCCACTAAAAGTTATTCAAAAATTGTATGATTCTATTTCAAGCGGAATTGAAACTATATGAAAACAAATGATGGCTTAATATTTTATTAATAATCTTTTATTAAAATATAGTGTATTTTTTAAATGTTTATATTATTTTATCTCCCTGTACATATATATGTACAGGGAGACAAAATGTACAGGGTCCCATCTAGAAGTGGCCACCCCCTTTTATCTTTTAAACTAAAAGAGATAGACCATAACAAATATGTATGAAATTAAATGGCTTTAACTGAACTTTATTGTGAGTATAGTGGTTGATTACAAAATTTATCTGTATTAAAGAATGAAGAGATATGTATAATTTTTTTATAATAATGTATAATAAATATTTTGATATAATAAAAGTTGTAGCGCTGTTTGAAACGAATATAACGATGTATGACTTAATGTAAATATTTTACATATTATACGAGAGTTTCCTTGAAATATCGCGGGCGACGTCCACCATTTCATTTTCGGCACTGCGATATAGCCAACTTCTGACTCGTGCATTAGAGGTTGACATATATCATGTTGTCATTTAATCATGATACTCATTCAGAAGTTGGCTATATCACAGGGCCGAAAATGAAATGATGGACGTTGCCCGCGATATTTCAAGCCGAAAAATCTCGTATAATATGTAAAATATGTACATTAAATCATACATCGTTATATTCGTTTCAAATTGCACTACCACTTTTATTATATCAAAATATCTACATTATTATAAAAAAAATTATACATATCTCTCCGTTCTTTAATACAGATAAATTTTGTAATCAATCACTATACTCACAATAAAGTTCAGTTAAAGCCATTTAATTTCATATATATTTGTTATAGTCTATCTCTTTTAGTTTAAGAGATAAAAGGGGGTAGCCACTTCTAGGTGGGACAACTTGTATATATTTATAATGTATATAAAAAGTGTCGAAACCTCTTAATATTTAGGAAAACACGCATTTTTATAAAAAACGTTTAAGATCACCTAGATTTACATTTCTTTTATGTTATGTATATGAATAAACCCAACATATCCAACCGAGTAATCTTCATGTACTGAATAAAAAAATACTTTATTATAGTATTTCGAAAAACTCTCGAAGTAAGCTACAAGAATGTGTAACGAAAAATGATGGTTTTTATTTACAAATTTTTAGGTGATTATATTTTACGCGATTTTGACTACGCTATTCAAACTCCTACTAATATTATTATGTAATGCATTTATAACTTTTGGAACATTTTTTACAAAAATTTGTATTTCCCGAAATATTAAGAGATTTCGACACATTTTGTACACCCTGTATATATAGAGTGTTTCGTAATAAATGCGAAAAATTTTAAGAGATGATTGTTGAAAATTAAGGAGAGTTTTTCATATAAACATTAAAATAAAGTTCTAATAAAAAATTGAATATTGATATGGAGCGCTAGTTTCATCCCCTTATAACAATAGAAGAGGTTGAAAAAATATTAATAAATAACCTTTTTATTAGTATAAAATATCCACCTAATTTCATTTCTTTAACTTTTTCCAAATTTGAGAAAAAAGTAAAAACTTAATTTTTACATTTTTGGAGAAATGTAACACTAAAGAAAGGGATGTAGGAGTATATGTTTATATGAAAAACTCCTCTTAATTTTCGACAAAGAATCATTTTCTAAAATTATTCGCACTTATTTAGAAACACCCTGTATATAATATATTGCAATAAAAAGACAAGAGTCAGAGTAGGTACAATCCAACTTTTCGTTGCCATGATGTTCGCCGCTGACAGTGCTGGCACGCCTAGAGCATACATCTTATGTATAGCCACATTGATCATTGATCGGTTTTTTAAAATTAATATCTCGAAATTTTACATCGTCGTTTGTAAAGTATAGGACCTTCTAATTCTGTTTAACAAGATACAGATTTCGTTATAAAAATATAAAAATATTTTCTATTTTCTATTTTATATTTTAGAATTAATATACACTCATATTCCGTAGCAAATATATGTATATATATACAGGGTCTACCAAAAGTGTGGAAACCCCTAAATATCTCGGAAAATATACGTTTTACAGAAAAGTGTTTCCAACAAAAGTTGTAGGGTTTAAGAAGATCTATATACTGATTCTATCAGTTTGACCTTGGATGGCGTCGTCAAGGTCAGGTCAAGGTCACATTGACTTTTTTAAATGACACCCCCTACATTTGATTGCATATTCTTATAGCTTAATTCAAGAGCTTTCCAAAACACTATAATAATGTTCATTTTTATTAAGTACTTTGCGAGTTATGAGGGTTGAATGATAGAGTAGCGCCGGTATTAACATTATCCAAGGTGTACTACATGGAGGTTACTCGCTCGGATTTGCATCTGTTGTGTGTGTGATCCAGCTAACTAAGGCAAGATCGGTCGTGGATCCAGTCAGCAAAAGCAAAGACCCAACCAAATTACAATCGAGCATTTAAAGACCTGGAAAGCAATCGACATAGTAAACAGTAAATAAATTTGTGGATGCTCATTTATCATAATAATTGTTCGAAATGTGTGCGTGTGCGTGCGTGCGGTGCGTGTATACAGAGATCAGGTTAGGTTGCACCAAACGATTGCAAATGTGTTTCAATGTGTTAAAGTAAATGCTGAAAGTGGCTGCCATTTACTTCCTGACAATATGCTAATCTTTGGTAGAATGTAGAAATGACTTTACGATTCGTTTCAAAAGGTATCAAAGCCATTTCATCCCTTATTCGCTGTATCAATTCGTGAATGGTTTTAGGTTTTGTTCTGTAAACCTTACTCTTCAGATATCCCCATAGATAATAATCAAGAGGAGTTAGATCTGGTGACCGAGGTGGCCAATCCTCTCCTCCCTCATTTCCGTTCCTTCTTCCTATCCACCGTAGCGGAAAAGTCTCATTTAAAATACGACGTGGTCCTGCACCAAAATGAGCAGGAGCTCCATCATGCTGAAACCATATTTCTTGGAAATTATTTGGAAAAGTATTCTGTATGGCTGGAATTATTTGATCAACAAGTAATCTCTCATACCTTTGAGCGTTCAAATATTCTTCAAAAAAAAACGGCCCTATTAAATAGCCATCTATTATTCCGCACCATACATTTATTTTTTGTGGATGTTGTGTGTGAGTTTCCCGCACCCAATTCGGATTCTCATCTGACCAGAAACGAAAATTTTGATTATTAACTTCTCCCGTTAAGGTAAAAGTTGCCTCGTCTGTGAAAACAATTTGATAAGGGAAGATGGGCCGGACATCTATTAGTGCCATCATTCTTTCACAGAAATGTATACGACGCTCCTCATCTCCGTTTTGCAATTCTTGAACGTATTGCAATTTATATGGATGGAACTTGTTCTTCTTTAAAATTCTCCAAACCGACATGGGAGCAATATCGTGAGTTTGAGCGACTCTCTGAACACTAGAATTGGGATCTTCAATAAATGTCTGCAGAACATCAAGTTGTTTTTCTTCGTTGGTTGCAGACAATGGTCTTCCTGACTTAGAGCGATTTCTTACGCTACCAGTTTGTCTAAAACGTTCTATTGTTTTTAACACAGTGGACTTATTAATTCGACGGTTCGGATACGTGTCATTAAATAATCGAACGACATCAGAGAACGATCTTTCGTTATCACCCCATCCACGCATCATGAGGATAGTGATTCTTTCACGTTCCGACAAGTCGCCAGCCATTTTTAAAACGTTTAATTTTAATTAATCGTACGTTGTATTTGGACGATAACAATTAATTTCTGCTTGCTCAAAGCTGAAGTTAGAAGGTGCTCGTTCTTTGATAGCTTTATACATTCTTAGTTGAATTTTAAATGCGAGTTAGACTGCATGTAGTGCGTCACATAGCGGTAAATGAAGGAACTAACGAGACGTTTCATACACGTTTTATGGAGCAATTTTTTGGCAATTTGACTTCAGCGAAATATGAGGATATGTTGAGGAATCGATCTTGCCTTAGTTAGCTGGATCACACACACAACAGATGCAAATCCGAGCGAGTAACCTCCATGTAGTACACCTTGGATAATGTTAATACCGGCGCTACTCTATCATTCAACCCTCATAACTCGCAAAGTACTTAATAAAAATGAACATTATTATAGTGTTTTGGAAAGCTCTTGAATTAAGCTATAAGAATATGCAATTAAATGTAGGGGGTGTCATTTAAAAAAGTCAATGTGACCTTGACCTGACCTTGACGACGCCATCCAAGGTCAAACTGATAGAATCAGTATATAGATCTTCTTAAACCCTACAACTTTTGTTGGAAACACTTTTCTGTAAAACGTATATTTTCCGAGATATTTAGGGGTTTCCACACTTTTGGTAGACCCTGTATATATATATATATATATATATATATATATATATATATATATATATATATATGCAGGATGATTCTAAATAACCTTATGTTTTTGCAAAAACATAATCTTGATCGAATTCTGAGACGATTTTTCCTTTGGCAAAATTTCATGCAAAGCATAGTTTTTGAATTATGAAGAGAAATATTTTACTTATTACGGGTCCGATGCAAGAGGCAAGCAAGGGCGGCACAACTGACCGTCAGACGCAAGCGCTCACGCGGGGCGCCTTCGGCGATTAGCTGATCGCTATACTATGCACGGACATACATGCGAATACATATATTCTCTCTCTCTCTCTCCCTCTCTCCCCTCTCTCCTCCCTCCCTCTCCCCCTCCCCCTCCCCCCTCTCTCATTCGCTCACTTACCCATAGTTTTTTTTATGAGAAGGGAAAATGCATTTTGTGCATACTCACCGGTCCGATGAATTATGTGGGATTCGACTACCAAGTCTAATTACCAACTCGGTATCTCCCTACCCACTAAATATCTCTCTCTTTTTATGAATTTCCGATAAAACGAGAATTTACTAAACTATCACTATCTCTATCACTGATCACTATCTTCGCTGCCGAATAATCACCGTTAGCAATTAAAAATCCCTCAATGAAAGAAACACTCGCGGATACACGATGCGTCGACGCAACAACGCGACAACGCGACGATATTTATTCGGCGGTAGCAAACAGCTGTACTTATGTTACGTTACGGTAGGTTAAGGTACTAACAGCGCTGCCGAACGTAATTATGTATTTGATCGAAGAACGCGGCCAACATACAATATTAAACATTTAACGCGCGTATAATATTATTATTATCATACAATATACATACATTATATGATATTCAAAATTTATTAGAATAAATGAATGTTTTTAAAATATTGACTATTTTACTACTAATATTAAATATTAATAATAATAGTAAAATACGCGAACTTATATATCTTGTTTCCTCTATATTACCTGGAAATCACCACATAGAGATTAGGCAAAGTGAAATCTCTTCTTTTATAAGTTTTTTTTATTTTCTCTGCAAATAAAGTTTCATTGTTGTAAGCTGGAAAAGCTTCGTAGGTCATTTCTGGCCCATAAGTTGCCTGTTGCATTCATAGTCTAAAGCTTATTTTATAAAAATGTAAATTGTACTACTAAATGAAAGGATTGACAAATATATATTGTAGTAGTAGTATATATTTAACAAATCAAAAAGAATAGTGAAAGGCAGTAAAGCGCCAACGCAGTTGTAAGGCGTGGATAAAGTAATTTCCAAGACAGCAATTCAATTTTAACGATCCTTTCGCTTTATTCCATACGTTTCGGACTCAATTCGAGCTTTCTTTAGTGATTCTAATAAAAACAAAGAAAAAAATTTATCAAATGAGAGCACAATAAAAACGCAATATCAGTAAAATACAAGAGAGAGCAGAAAGCATAGTCACATGCATACATGGTCCGTAAGAACGACGCGACTTCGTCAGAGCTGATCCATCCGAGAAAGCCCGATGCAAGAAGCCCTCTCAGCGGTACAAAGCGCGAAGAGCGATGCATTAGCAAAATAAATATAACAAAATCTAGTCACAGGTCTTAAAAATAAAAATTCATTAACGTTAGTCAAAGGCTACTCACTCGGACAAGAAACAGATCAGCAGAAAGGACACGAACAATCAACACACTAACAGTCGAATAGGCCGGTAATTCGAACGGCAACGGTAAAGATGTCATAATGTGGTCGGCAATAACAAAATATATACAAAGAGGACAAAGCCAGTCAAACAGAAAACAACCCATTAAATCTTAGGCATGTTTTCAATTATCGACAGACACGAAGTATTCAATTTTAAAGTATCGCTTTGGAGGTTCAACGCATTCTTTTGGCGCTTAATATAAATCATTTCAGAAATTAGTCTTTTTCCTAAAAACATTTCCTCATCCAAAACCTCAACATCATCGAAATTAAAAGTGTGATTAAGCGCTTTATGTTCGACAATGACGGACGTAAGATTCCTTCTTTCTTCGTCCTTAACAAGCGACCCGTTTGTCCTACATAAGAGGCGTCGCAATCCTTGCAATTAATTTTATACACTATATTGCTATGCGAATCCTTATGTAACCGTCTTTACCGACTTTAATAAATCTGCGCAAATTGTTTATTCCAGTGTAAGAAAGCCTAACGTCAAGATCTCTAACGCAGCATCGGAAGCGTTCTGATATGTTCCTCACATATGGAACATTAAAATATGGAACATATGGAACATTAAAATATGTAATCTTACTTCCACCTCTCTCATCATCAATCACACACTCATCATCATTCAAAACATTATCATGTTTGTTATTAAATCTATGAAATAGATATTAAGCTGATCGACAATTGTGTGAAAGATAAGAGAGAGCGGATATCCATTATTCAAGAGAATGTTGACAACAAATTCAAGATTTTTTTTGTGAAATTTAGGATGAGAAAGCCAGAAAACTTTATCTATTAAACCAATAATCGTGCCCTTCTTCTGGCAAAGGAGGTGTCGCGACTCGAAGTGGAGATATCTTCCCGAGAAAGTTGGTTTATGAAACCAATTGAATTCAATATGTCCATTTTTTAAATAATTGTGATGTCAAGAAAATTCAAACGGTTGTCGACACCCTCCTCAATAGTAAATTGCAACCTTGTGTGGAACGAGTTAAAAGTGTTCAAGACAACATTGAGCATTGAGGAGGGAGCCGCCAACATGATGTCATCAACATATCTGAAATAAAAAGGAAGATCTATAGATAGAGTCGCAATCGCCCTTGACTCCAAATCTTGAAGTGTGATCTCAGCAATAATCGGGGAAAGAGGAGAGCCCATGAGCGTGCCAAATGTTTGTTGATAACAAACATTGTTAAACATAAAAAAAGTAGAATTCAAAATAAGGCAAACTGCCATAAGAAATTCGTCGCGAGGTATCCGGCAATTACTTCCTATATAGTCCCATCTGTCAGACAAGCTATTAATGGCCATATCCAAAGGTATATTGGTGAATAGTGAGACGACATCCAACGAAATCAGTTTTATGTCGCCCTCAATATGTTTGCCATTAAGTCTCTCGTCACTTGCGCGCTATTGATAATTTGGCTATCAGGTCTCGGAATAGATTTATAAATGATGTCATGTAAAAATTTAGCGAGACCATAAAGCGGCGTGTTTTTAGATGAGACAATTATGCGTAACGGGTTATTTTTCTTGTGAATTTTCGGCAGCTCATAAGCTCTCGGTAAAACGCCGTCTGTACAATTTAACGATCTGTACTTTCTAATGATGTAATCACGAGTTCTCCACCTCGTCAATAGTTCATGTAGACTACTAATCAATTTATTAATCGGGTTCTTATTAATTACTTTATACGTGTCTTTATCCGCTAACAAATTAGACATATTAGAAAAATAGCTGTCCTAACGCGACTGTTATGTTGCCTTTATCAGCTCTCGTAAACAAAATATCTGGATTATCTTTAGTGGATTTTTTTTACAGCATTATATTATATATTTATTGATTAATTTTATACAAGTTTCATCAACTTGACAAGATACATTTGTTAATTTTATTTGAGTGTGTATTAGTGTGTTTTTTATTTATAATTTATTTCATCTCTTTCTTCTTTCTTCTTCTATCTCTAAATATTTCATTATCTCTAAATATTTCTCTTATCTATTCTAATACATTTAATCAGTGTTTGTATACCTATCTAAAACCTATCTCCTCCTTTCTGGCATCTTTCTGCTCTCTCTCCTCCCTGCACTCTTCCCTCTCCACGTACCTATTGAATCTTCTGAATTTCTTTTTCCCCTTCTTTTTATTTTCCACTTATTATATCCTTTTTTTTCTCCTCTTCCCTCCGTTTCCACAGTACTTCCTTCATCCTGTCTAGAATTCTTTTTTCTCCCTCTAGTATCTCTCTCCTCTTCTCATTTTTATTTTTAACCTTTCCACTGTTTCCAAATACATGCTCGTAGCTTTCCTCTTCTTTGTCGCATAATTTGCACAACCTTTCCTCTTCTTTTAGCCAGAACATGCATTTTCTGCTTTCATTTCCTATTCTAAACCTAGCCACTGTACTTAACTTATCCTTTCTTTGGCCTCTCTCCATGTATCTCCTTGTTTTTCCAAGAGAACCTCCTTGATCTCTTCTGCGTGTCTTGAATCCTTTATCCTTTCTTCTGTATAGTTTGTCTGTATTTCTCTGCCTTTTTCCTTCAATCTTTGCCATACTGATTCTTTCCTATCTTTATCTTCCCAATACTTTTCTATAGACCATCCTTTTTTCCTCAAGAATTCTCTCTTGTCTTCTTGGCTTTTTTCTTCTCTTCTTCTCTCTTGTATTTTCCAGCATTCTCCCAAGATCGTGTTTCTTTCTTGTTTTTCCAACTTTTCTTCATATTTTAGTGCTCTTTTTCCTGTCTTAATTATCAAATCATCCCTGTTTGTTTCTTTCATCACTATGTAATCCGGTGTGTTCCTGTCAAGCTTTAGCACGCATTTAATATATTTCCTTTGTATTCTTTCAAGTTCTTCCCTTTCTTTCCACCCCCAAATTTCGGCTCCATACATCATTACTGACTCTATTAGTGCATCGAATAATTTCATCCTTTTATCCCAATCTTCTTTAAATTTCCTCTCTCCTATGCTCCAAATTCTTCCTACTACGGTTTTAGCTTTACCTTCTAGCTTCTTAATTTGTCCTTCATCACTGTTATTGCACTTTATTATATATCCCAAATATGTATTAAATTCTTTCACTTCTTCTATTACTTCCTCCTTCCATTTGAATTCTAATCTAGTTCTCCTTCCTTGTCCTTTTCTGAACACCATTATCTTTGACTTTTCTGTATTCAATTTCAGGCTTTTTTTTCCAAATATTTTCCCAACCTCTTTATCATCTTCTTTAGCCCTTCTGGTGTAATGGACATCAGAACTCTATTAGTGCAACATCATCTGCATATGACAGTGAGTAAATTTTCTTTCTCCCTGAGACTACTCCTCCTTCCTGTACTTTTTTCATCTCTTCTTCCAAATCCGCTAGGCTCACATTGAACAAGGTTGGGCTGAGGGGGCATCCTTGTCTGACTCTTTTTTTCAGTTCCATTGATCCTACTAATATATATTGTATATATGTATATTGTATAATCAATTTTTATTTTATTCAAGATATGTAAACGAAGGGGCAGGGGGGAACGCCAAGTTTTCATATCTTACTTCGATCTAAAGGTCATTTATTCGATTTAGAATTTGTGTAAAACTTTTTTAAATTATATACATCATATAAAAAATGCTTTAGAAATTAAAGTAATTTTAACTCGTTTAGTATCGATTACGAATTAATAATAATTAATATCACATAACTTATTGTACTTGGCTAATAGTATTGATCTCATATCGGTTTTTAAATATTATATTTTTATCACTCTTTTAGATTTTTTGATTTTTTTATGTACTTGGCGTATTTTTTTACCTTTATAAAGTTTTTTTAGGAGGATCTCACTGCTTTTTGTAAAAATATATATTATTTCTACAGAAAATATATGTGAAATCGGTGAAAGTTTGTGTTGACAATCAATGTTTATCTAATAAGATCGTTAGCTTGACGTGGAATAAGAGCTTATTTTGGTAGCAGCCTAGTACAAGGACATTTGCGAGCGATCAAAGTTTCGAGATGTCTCTATGACTCGGCAAAATTGTGATATACACGGTGGGCCATTTTAATCGATGCACTCGAATATCTCGAAAACAGCACTCTTCAGAAAGAAATGTTTCAAACAAAAATTGTAGGGTGTGAAGGGGGACATAAGATGGTAGCATTGGTTTGACCTTGGAAAGTCATTTGAAGGTCACATAAAAGTCACCTTCAATTTCTTAAATTGAACCCACTATTTTTCATTACATATTCTTGTAGCTTATCTCGAGAGCTTTCCAAAACACTACAGACAAATGTTTTTTCATTAAGTACTTTTTGAGTTATAAGGCTTCAAAGTTTGCAGTACTTCGATATAAAATACAAAATATCTCGTAAAATATTTAGTTTTCGGTAGTCTTACCCTAATACTTTTATGCACAGGATAATGAGACAAAACTATTGGTATAAAGAAAACGCATGATTGTTTATAACAAAAAGTGCATTGCAAATTACACATTTTTTATTATAAACAATCATACGTTTTCTTTGCACCAATAGTTTTGTCTCATTATCCTGTGCATAAAAGTATTAGGGTAAGACTACCGAAAACTAAATATTTTACGAGATATTTTGCATTTTATATCGAAGTACTGCAAACTTTGAAGCCTTATAACTCAAAAAGTACTTAATGAAAAAACATTTGTCTGTAGTGTTTTGGAAAGCTCTCGAGATAAGCTACAAGAATATCCATTGAAAAATGGGGGTTTCCATTTAAGAAATTAAAGGTGACCTTCACGTGATCTTCAAACGACTATCCAAGGTCAAACCAATGACACCATCTTATGTCCCCCTTCACACCCTACAATTTTTGTTTGAAACATTTCTTTCTGAAGAGTGCTGTTTTCGAGATATTCGAGTGCATCGATTAAAATGGCCCACCGTGTATATACAGGGTCTACCAAAAGTGTGGAAACCCCTAAATATCTCGGAAAATATACGTTTTACAGAAAAGTGTTTCCAACAAAAGTTGTAGGGTTTAAGAAGATCTATATACTGATTCTATCAGTTTGACCTTGGATGGCGTCGTCAAGGTCAGGTCAAGGTCACATTGACTTTTTTAAATGACACCCCCTACATTTGATTGCATATTCTTATAGCTTAATTCAAGAGCTTTCCAAAACACTATAATAATGTTCATTTTTATTAAGTACTTTGCGAGTTATGAGGGTTGAATGATAGAGTAGCGCCGGTATTAACATTATCCAAGGTGTACTACATGGAGGTTACTCGCTCGGATTTGCATCTGTTGTGTGTGTGATCCAGCTAACTAAGGCAAGATCGGTCGTGGATCCAGTCAGCAAAAGCAAAGACCCAACCAAATTACAATCGAGCATTTAAAGACCTGGAAAGCAATCGACATAGTAAACAGTAAATAAATTTGTGGATGCTCATTTATCATAATAATTGTTCGAAATGTGTGCGTGTGCGTGCGTGCGGTGCGTGTATACAGAGATCAGGTTAGGTTGCACCAAACGATTGCAAATGTGTTTCAATGTGTTAAAGTAAATGCTGAAAGTGGCTGCCATTTACTTCCTGACAATATGCTAATCTTTGGTAGAATGTAGAAATGACTTTACGATTCGTTTCAAAAGGTATCAAAGCCATTTCATCCCTTATTCGCTGTATCAATTCGTGAATGGTTTTAGGTTTTGTTCTGTAAACCTTACTCTTCAGATATCCCCATAGATAATAATCAAGAGGAGTTAGATCTGGTGACCGAGGTGGCCAATCCTCTCCTCCCTCATTTCCGTTCCTTCTTCCTATCCACCGTAGCGGAAAAGTCTCATTTAAAATACGACGTGGTCCTGCACCAAAATGAGCAGGAGCTCCATCATGCTGAAACCATATTTCTTGGAAATTATTTGGAAAAGTATTCTGTATGGCTGGAATTATTTGATCAACAAGTAATCTCTCATACCTTTGAGCGTTCAAATATTCTTCAAAAAAAAACGGCCCTATTAAATAGCCATCTATTATTCCGCACCATACATTTATTTTTTGTGGATGTTGTGTGTGAGTTTCCCGCACCCAATTCGGATTCTCATCTGACCAGAAACGAAAATTTTGATTATTAACTTCTCCCGTTAAGGTAAAAGTTGCCTCGTCTGTGAAAACAATTTGATAAGGGAAGATGGGCCGGACATCTATTAGTGCCATCATTCTTTCACAGAAATGTATACGACGCTCCTCATCTCCGTTTTGCAATTCTTGAACGTATTGCAATTTATATGGATGAAACTTGTTCTTCTTTAAAATTCTCCAAACCGACATGGGAGCAATATCGTGAGTTTGAGCGACTCTCTGAACACTAGAATTGGGATCTTCAATAAATGTCTGCAGAACATCAAGTTGTTTTTCTTCGTTGGTTGCAGACAATGGTCTTCCTGACTTAGAGCGATTTCTTACGCTACCAGTTTGTCTAAAACGTTCTATTGTTTTTAACACAGTGGACTTATTAATTCGACGGTTCGGATACGTGTCATTAAATAATCGAACGACATCAGAGAACGATCTTTCGTTATCACCCCATCCACGCATCATGAGGATAGTGATTCTTTCACGTTCCGACAAGTCGCCAGCCATTTTTAAAACGTTTAATTTTAATTAATCGTACGTTGTATTTGGACGATAACAATTAATTTCTGCTTGCTCAAAGCTGAAGTTAGAAGGTGCTCGTTCTTTGATAGCTTTATACATTCTTAGTTGAATTTTAAATGCGAGTTAGACTGCATGTAGTGCGTCACATAGCGGTAAATGAAGGAACTAACGAGACGTTTCATACACGTTTTATGGAGCAATTTTTTGGCAATTTGACTTCAGCGAAATATGAGGATATGTTGAGGAATCGATCTTGCCTTAGTTAGCTGGATCACACACACAACAGATGCAAATCCGAGCGAGTAACCTCCATGTAGTACACCTTGGATAATGTTAATACCGGCGCTACTCTATCATTCAACCCTCATAACTCGCAAAGTACTTAATAAAAATGAACATTATTATAGTGTTTTGGAAAGCTCTTGAATTAAGCTATAAGAATATGCAATCAAATGTAGGGGGTGTCATTTAAAAAAGTCAATGTGACCTTGACCAGACCTTGACGACGCCATCCAAGGTCAAACTGATAGAATCAGTATATAGATCTTCTTAAACCCTACAACTTTTGTTGGAAACACTTTTCTGTAAAACGTATATTTTCCGAGATATTTAGGGGTTTCCACACTTTTGGTAGACCCTGTATATATATATATATATTGCGACGTTTCTTCAATTCAATTTAAATTATTCGCGACACTCCTCGAGGTGTTGGAGAGGAGCGTGCGCGGGGGAACGAAAACGCCGTCAAAAAAAATAGCGAAATTAATGTACTCGCGCTCTGAGGAACAGGGATGGAGGACGTTCTCGCGCGAGCCGCGGCGGAGCGGAGGCCGTTTCGATATCTCGATAGGTTGAGCGCCAGATGCGCATCTTTCACGCATCAGTTTTCCACGAAACTACAAAGAACGCGAAAAATAATAGCCTGCTTCGCCACGGGCCGACTAGCTCGCCTAACGGTAGAGGGGAGGGGTTTTGGGAGAAAGTCAATTGATTATGCGATACTTCACTAATTCAAAATGCGACAGACACAAAACGGGTATCGACAACCACGAGAAACTAACACTCAAATAAATTACGCGATTTTAACAAAGAAATATAATAAATTTATTAATAGAGAAATAATATAAAAGAAAAATGTAAAAATGAACTTGAATAACAGATCAGTTTAAAAATGACGGTTCACAATAAATTCGAGAACATACGAAAGCGAAATACACAATCAAATTAATCTCGGCACGAATAATAAGGCGTTATTCAAAGCAAATGCTCGCTTGAAATCGACAACCGAAAACGAGAGCGCTAACACATTCCTGTTGTTTATCCGAGCCCGTTTTTTATGGCTGGAGTTTGCGGGACGGAACGATATTTCTCGAAAGACAAAGGATTTTCGGCACGACAATATTCGTGGATAATATTCACTCAAAAGGTATCGTAATTTCGACAACCAATTCGACAACTTTATCGCTACTGACTTTTCTTCACAATTTCCCAATTCGCAAGTTTAAACGACAACTTAATAGCTCGACAGCCTAATTAACCAGAGATCGGAAATAACTAATAGTTTTGCGAAGACGGATCTCGTATGCGACAGGCGAACGATATTTTCAATATTCGATAGCCGAGCGGCCGGAGATTTTTCTCAGCCGGCGTTTCGCCTCTTTCTTCCGTGCAAGCAGCTCAGATTTCACTCTCGGTCGTACTTTTGCGATTATTGCGCACCGCGACAAATTCGACAGACACAAATTATCATTTATTACACTCTATTCGACGGCGTAATAAGCGCGACAAAGACACAAGTACTCTATTAACATTTATTACGCTCTATCCGACGGCGTAATAAGCGCGACGAAGACGCAAATGCTCTAATGCACACAATACGATAAAATACAATAAACGCTCACACGCATACTTAACAATCGACGACGACATCCACGAAATCAGACACAAAAATCGCCCTGAGATAATTTTCGGGAATATTCCACGCGGCAACGACGGTGACACGACAACACGGGCGGTGTACGCTTTTCGCGATCCTTTGCGCACGCGGTCGATATTCGGCGGTCAATAGCTACGCGTAATGAACACCCCGAGAGCCGGAGAGAGACGAACGTTACCTTATCAATTATTGCCTACAATACGATTGTCCGCTCCTCCTCGGTCGCTTGCCTCCGATCGCCCGAAAATTCACCAAAATCTCGCTGGCCCGATCCTGAGCCTGAGCGGTCGCGAAACACGAAAATGGCGACGGTGGCAGAACGGCCGGCCGGCGGATCAAATCGCGTATGTGGCTCACAAATAAAAGATAGGCAACCTCACCGATACTTCTCCCTACGCTGAGGATGATCCTCGGCCTCGTCCTCTGCGGTTGTCTCGATAGCGGCGCCGATACACGACAAAGAGTTCACAAAATGACAACGACTATAACTGCGACTTATTAGGTCGAGCTCCCGCACCAGAATGATCCCTGGATCCTTACATCCCGGGTTGATAGCGGCGTCAATGACCGCGTAGAGGGGTGCGCAGCCCCGCGGCCAATCATATCGCGGCACGCGAGAGATCCTGGCGCTTCGCGAAATGCGAGGTATTTCGGCGCCTGGCGCGCAACGGCCTCACATTAAAATTTCGCTGTTGCGGGCCCATTTTCAATGGTCCGGTGGAGGCTCAACTGTCGTTCTCGCCTCTGCGAGGGAGATAGCGCCGATTAGGCCTTCGTCCTGTTTGGCCGAGAAGGGGCGATGTTGCCCCCTTGGTGTCTGGTGGCCGGACTTTTCGGGCGCTATTTCGTCCCTCGCTGGCTGTCGAGAAGCGCCGTGTCGTCAGCCGTGACGTAAGATCCCTCGATGCGCTCCTCGCTCTCCTGATCTTCTCCGGCGGGTTGCCCGAAATTCGCTCGATACAAAGAAAATGACAAATAAAATTAATAAACGCAACAAAAATAATAATATGGCTCGTCTCTCCGGGGAGCTCGATTATGTTCTCTCGATGCGGATTCTGGCGCGGCCGCTCGGCCCGCGCCCCGTTAAAATTATCGGGGCGGATGGACGCGCGACAGGACGGCCATGTCACAATATAATGCTTCGAGAAGGACCGGGGAGAAACAAACAGTAGACGGAAGACAGTACAGTACAGTTCGCAGTTCGAGATACAGAGTCTTTATATCATTAAATAAATTTGCTTTTCAATTAGAATTTGACATGTCTCTGATCGTTTCTGGCCCCTGAGCCTGCTTTCCTAAGTTCTCCCAGAATTATCTCCATTAATTATAAAAACTTTCTTCCTACATATGTTAGACTACATATTTTTTAGATATTTTTTTATGTACTTGACGTATTTTACCGTTATTGTTTCTAGAGGGATATTTGTAAATTTATATTATTTCTGCAAAAAATATATACGCATTTTTAAAAATCTTTACTAAGGGTAAGTCGTGTATTTTCACAAAGTTTCATTTTCTAGATATTAGAATTTCATTCCCAAGAGGTGGTTTTTGAATATTTTTATAATACGATAAATTAGTCTTTTTAGAAATCTTATCTAATGGCACAGTTTTTATATTTTTGTGATATCGTTTTCGAGATAGATTAGATTTTACTCTCAAGAGGATTTTGAAAATTGTTATACGATAAATTAATCTCTCACACGTATACATACACATATACACATATCACACGTATGCACACACATATACATAAATGGTTTTGTTTCTTAAAGCATTTTTGCACACTAAAGCAAATAATCATATATGCGCGAACGCAGCTTGAGGGACAAAATCGCTTTGAATGTGTGCGTGCAAAGATACGTTCATGAGTCTGAATCTGAATCTTGATAGAGGAAAACGAAAAATGTCACATTTCTGGCATGCGATTATCATTTCTCGAGATTGACTGCACCGATTTTATTCAAATTGGTCGCAATCGAAAGCTTGTATTCACATTATATTAGAAAAATGCCGTTAGATTTTTTATTACGGCTTTTCTGAAATATTTTAATCGAAAGTTAAGCTACTTGGTAGCGCCGCGTCGAGGACAGTGATTCTCAATGCTCGGATCCAGTTCTTTTTCAGTTTTTTATGTACTTGGCGTCGCGACGCTATCGCATCGCTTGATAATTTTCACAATATTGTTTTGCATATTAAAACTCTAATGTATAGAAAGACTGAATAGAAATATTAGATTCAATATATATTTCAATATATACTTTATGTTAAATAGAAATATTAATGCATACATACTATTATTGTATGAAAAAATCAATGACAAATGTGATTAATATCTAAATAATATTTTAAGCTAAGTTTGTTCAAAAACATTTATATATTTTATTGAAATATATAGATATGTGCGTATTGCATATAAAGATATTATTATTTACTATATATAATAGGTTTACATTTATGAAATAAATATAAACCTATTATATTTTAATTTAGTATTTATTGCTTTGTGAATATAAATCCTCTTATTCTTACATAAATTACATTACACAATTACTTATTTTTTTATTGGATTTTTATTGGATTTTATGGATTTTTGTGAAAATGTTAATAAAGTTTTATATATATATCCCTCCCCATCTTTACCATATATTTCTTTAAAGTAAGTATTCTTCTAATGTAGGTGGATCAATATTAAAATATTAAGCGGTTTGGCTACTGTATAAACATGTATGACAATTCATCAGAATTGTTGCTGTTTTGTACATTGAAACCACATCTTGGAGCAACAGTTTCTGGTTTTTCTTAAAATCAAGGAATGCAAATTGTGTTACTATTTTTTCAAAACCCCATTCGATCGCTTATCTTACAGAGCTCATTCTTAAATTAAAAATCGCTTGTTCAGGAGTCAATACTCTACTTGTGTATGGTCTAAAGTCTAAATAATAATTCGAGGAGAGGATAAGTGCAATCTCCATACAATACAAAATTTGCATCTGGATATAATGCACATCTTTCTAATTGAGTATATAAAGGCGAATCTCTAAATAAGCCTGTAAAGAAAATTTAATATCATTGACCATGCTAAAATTTAATTTCATTGACCATGCTAAATTACATTTTATAAACATAGCTGCATCATGTCGTCTACCAGAATATGGTCCATGAAGACTAACTTATTATACCATCTGGATATAGTATAGATTGATATTTGAGACAATGTTGTCGTTTGTGACCAGAATAATATTCTTGTTGATTTATAGATAGTCTACATATTGCTCGTGCTGTTCCGTCAATAAAACCCCAGCAATTTCGCACAGTTTCTCCTTTTGCTGAAACAATCTTTGAAAAAATAATTAATAAATTTTATTTATTGTAGCAAAAATATTGAAGATATATTTCTAATTATATTAACCCAGTGAGAAGGCTGATGTCGACTCGATGTCGATTCAACGTCGATTTACCGAAAACTCATCGACATCGAAATTGACTTCGAAAATCAGCCGATTTCGATCAAATTGTTTTGACATCAGGAGTTGCTTTTTTCTAAGTTATTTGTGTTCAAAACCCGTAATTTTGTCTACAATTAAGAGACTCATTATATGAGAGAGTATATATGCAGACAATCATCGATTCAATATCGATCGACATCGAATCGATAACCGATGATGATTAGATGTGGCGCTACTGGCGCTATTAATATTATTTTCCGCGGACATTGTTGTAACGGCGCGGTCTGCGTTTCTATCGGCGTTTCTTGTTGTGAAAGCGTATACGTGTGCGAACGTATGCTAGTTCACGCGACCGTTCAATTTCTTTGCGTTGATAGCGATAGTGCGTTGGACGTGTGTTATATACAGGCAATTTAACAAGTGGTCAAGCAAGTGGTCCTAAGCAACAACTTGGGAAGAATCTCAGCATTGACGCGAAGTGACGGGAATTAAGTTTTCCGAGAACCATGTCGAGTGACGATCAGCGTCCAGTAAGTATTTTCAGTTATGTTACATTTATGGATTATTTCTAGATTAGGGTTACGTTCCGACATTGAGCAAAATTTTCCTTGGAAAAGATGTTTCGGAACATAACCTAAGTATCAGTAATTAAGCGGCAGCACACTGGCACCACACTGAGGGCGGCATTGAGAGCTTATTTTTGTTTACTGATGTTGATTTCCTCTGTAATGTTCTTCGTTTATTAGTTTATTGAACTATGGTTTCCTCCTCTTTCTTTTATAGAAAAGCGAAAAATATTCTATTTCTTTAAATTGACTCTCCATGCATATAATTTTCTGTGTTTTTTCCAAGTTTCTGTGAAAATGGTTCGTACATCGTTGATTGGAACTTCTATGGTTGGATCTTCTTGTTCGTTAGCTCTTTCTTTGGCAAGAGTTCGTAATCTCATTTCCTAAATCTAAACACTTCATAAAACCTAGATGAACTGGTATTCATACATAAATATATAATTTTAATTTTATATTGATTTGTAAGTTCAAAGTATAATTTCTTGATATCTAATATATTTATTTGTATAAACGTTTAGCCTATTGTTGTTGATAATCATCAAAACACTGGTAATCTGTCAGTATTATTGCTGTTTTTAATTTTCATATTAAATTAATCTTTTAGAATGCTGTCTGAAAGGCTTTTGCGATGAGCATATTTTCAATAAACTTATGTAATTACCTCTCTTTTACAGACTCATAAAAAAGAATTCCATCTAGTTGTACATGGAACAATAAGATAGTATTTGTATTTACAAATACTTTCTATCATATTTGAAGCATTTGTTGATCTATGACAGATGTTTCACAATGCAGTTAACTTTTCAAACGTTGAATTATAAATTTGTTAATAAGCTGTTTTAAAAGCTTTTTGAACATCTACGGTGGCAATCAAATTTAATGCCTCAGCATTTTCTTTGTTACCCACAAAGAAAATGCTGATGCAAATGAATCATATAATATCATCGTTCTGTCATTACAAAATTCAAGAGTTTGAAAGTCGGAAATATTGTGCACTGAAATAGTACACTATTCATCATCATTAATAAAATCAATATCTTGTGTGTTTTTAATTTTCAGTGATAGAATACACTCTGAAAGATTTTACAAAATTGTTGGCATTTTCAATTAATGCCAACTAATTTTCTCCTAACTATGTACATTAAATGATTTGTGTATTTCAGTAAGCAGACATTCAATTTTTCGATGTGTATGTGAGAATTAAATTCTTCTAAATCCTAATAACAGAACGTCTATTTAAATTTTCATCTGTATAATAGCATGTTGCTTTCATAACTTTTTGATTGTTACTCCATATATATATTGTAGTACAAACATAATCAACTTGACTGAATATTTGTTGTAATCTATTTAACATTTGCTTCTTTCCATCCTTTAAATGATTTAGTGTCGTTTTAAGAAAAATTTAAACGGGGTAATGTTATCTATTAACACATAAAAAGTTTTTTACAAATATGATTCTATACAAAATTTTACCATTAAAATCTTATTACAATTTCACCTACTCGTACTATGGTGCGCTTATAAAGTTTCTGATTATTATAGTATTTAAGCCTTTTTTTATCGAAATTTGAGAAATTAAGCCACAAATTAAATTTTTCTTTACTATATACAGATTTCCTATATACTGTAATTAGATTGAGACATTTTTTGTTTAGTATTAGCAGGTTACGTATTCAGTGTCTTATGAATGTGATCTCACTAACATATTCTAACTAACTTTTTAGAACTATTGAGTAATTTCACTCTTTTTCTTTATTTTCCACTTTTTAAGATGAGTTCGAAATCTTACAAGCGGAGGCTACGACGAAAAGCTGAAAGAGAGGTATCTAAAAGATTCAAAGTTGATGAGATCATGAGCAAAGTCAATACAAGATATGCTATAACAAGTGACGCGGATAGTGAATCTTCTGATTGCAATCTCTCGTATGTCGACAGTATAGATGAATGTGAAATGCGTTATCTAGAACAAGAATCTGTACCAAATAATGATGCTTCATCAAGTGAAGAGGAAAATAATAGAAGTGATTCATTATCAAGTGCCAATGATGAAAATGATGATAATAGGCCTGGTGTAGATTTTGTCGATAATAATGAGAGAAATGTTGTAGAATTTGAAAATGATACTAAAAGAGAAGAATATATTATTGAAACTGTTCGTGAGTGGGCATTAGAGGCAGGACATCTATCCATGAAAAAATTGAATGATCTTCTCAATAGACTTCATGTAGTTTTTCCACGAATGCCCAGAAACTATAAGACACTACTTCACACTCCTGTTCATATTAATGTAGTTGAATTTGATGATGGGTGTAAGTTTTGGTACAAAAGTATTTCGACTAATCTGAATGCTATGGATCTGAGAGAGTATTTTCAAAGATATGATTGTATCAAGATTGATGTAAACATAGATGGTTTACCTTTATTTCAAAGTTCGAAGAAGAAGTTCTGGCCTATTTTGGGCTATCTTGTTGGTACCGAAAATGAGCCATTCATTATTGCTTTATATTTGGGCAAGCAAGATCCTAAAAATTCGGCAGAATTCTTGTATGACTTCGTTAATGAGGTTGAAAATTTGCTAGAAAATGGATACATTTACAATGGGGTAACGTACCAGTTTGAAGTTCGAAATTACATACTAGATGCACCCGCTCGATCATTAGTAAAATACACTATAGGTCATTCGGGCTATGCATCATGTGAAAAATGTACTGTTGTTGGTCAACATGTTGATGGAAGGAGAACTTACGTGCAACTTGATGAACCTCTGAGAACGGATCAGTCATTTCGTAACATGAGTCAGCGACTTCATCATACTGGTGTGTCTATTTTGTCGAGAAATACTAACATGATATCTCAGTTCCGCCTTGATCCAATGCATTTGATTTGGCAAGGAGTTTGGAAGAGACTGCTTAAGGCATGGATCCTGTGGAATGGGCCTTGGCAATTGGAAGTTAATGCAGTCCGCGAAATATCTGCTATTCTTGAAAATGATTTATCTCAAACATGTCCACAAGATTTTGCTAGGCCTCCAAGATCATTGATAGAATGGAATCTGTACAAGGCTACTGAGCTTCGACGAATGTGTCTCTATGATGGCATTTTTGTATTCAAAAGATATCTTCATGAAAATGTGTATAAACATTTTCTCTTATTGCATTCTGGTCTTTATATTCTCTCTAGTCTAGTTCTGGTTCGTTCAATGTTAGAAACTGCTAATGAATTGTTACGACTCTTTATACGCCATTCTGTCAACATTTACGGGCAGAAGTTTGTAGTATATAATGTCCATGCTCTCTGCCATCTGACCGCTGAATGTGCCGTATATGGACAGCTCGAAAACTTCAGTGCTTTTAAATTCGAAAATAGATTAAAATCCCTTAAGGCAGTTCTCCGATCAGGGTATCAACCGTTGCAGCAAGCAGCTTATAGAGACCTTGAAAGGTCTGCACGTGTTACTGTTCATTTGTCTTCTAATGATAAGCATGTTACTCTTTCTCAAGAGCACAGAGATCCAAATGAAGTCATGATTGGTACGCACTTCAGACGATTGTCAGTTGGTAAAATTTTTTTCCAGCTAGGAAGGAAAGATTCATGTTTACGAACTGTTGGTGGAGACATTGTTGTATTGAGGAACATTGTTCAGAATGAAGATGGCATTTTTCTGATTGGAAATATGTTCCTTAATGTTGAGAACTTCTACACATATCCTCTAAACTCATCTATTCTAGGCATTGTTCGTGTATCTGAGAAAGAATATGTTAGAAGAAGTTTTGCTCTGACAGACGTTGAGTCAAAATGTTGGCTAATGTCAGATGGTGATGCATTTCTGTGTGTGCCTTTGTTGCACACAATGCCCCTATTCTAAGTATTGCATGTATTCTGGCAAATCCCTACTATATGTATATATGTATATATATCTTGTTTTTTTAAAGATTATAATTTTCTCACATTATCTTTTATTTCTAACTTTTTATCTCTCTCTCTCTCTCTAATTCTTTTCTTCTCTCTCATTTCCTTCCTTCTTCCCCTATTCTTTTCTTTTTTTTCTATATCTTTCATCCACCATTTTCCTTCTCCCTTCTTTTCTAACAACCATCCTCCCTGCTGCCATTGTATATCTACATAATCTTCTTTGCATCGTTTTTAGTTCGTTGTCATCAAATTTATTAACAAAACAGAAAAAGAATCAAATGGCGACACAGTTTATGAGGTGGGCCTCGCCAAATGGATTGTTGACTTAAACGAGGACATGATGGGTACGACAAAATGGCCTCCTTCTTCCGTAGATGCTGGAAAACTTATAAGGAAGGAAACTTCCCCAGATCCAAATTGGCCAGTGTGCTATGTTGAGGTGATAAGGTACTTCGGTAAGTTTGATTGCACAAGTTAACTATATGAGTCATGCTTTTAGTCTAATTATTATTACTTTATTTGCATCCAGATACTATAAAAAGACCTAGAGAGATGTTGAAGAGATTGGTGGATGAAGGACTAACTTCCTACGAGACTGAAAGAGAATTGGGCCGGGGTAAAAGGAAGAAACGACCACCTATTATATATACCGATGATGATGAGGATTCAGATGTTCCAAAATACAATAAAAAGAAACAGTCTCTGTCTGATGACAGCGACTCAGATTTGGTTCAACATAAGAAAATTAGAAAGTTTGGCAAGTCAAAGAAGATAGATCAAGATATACCGGCACCACCATCGTTGTCCTTTCAACACAAAACCCCTAGTAACATAAGCCCAGATCAGAATGACAGGAACAGAAAAATTATTGTGACTTTTGCACATAAAAACACGGGAACTGCTTCATCTTTAATAGAGAAAATTAAAAGTCGAAAAACTGAGCGGCAAGTTTTTCAGAACCTAAAAGAAGAGAATCTCGAAAATGCTCTTAAGAAGCAGAAGAGCACATTAACTGTTCCTCAGCTGAATGTATGTGCCAAAAGCCCTTTGCAACAAATGAATGTCACACTGTCCGAAAACAATGTTAATAGTATGGGAGATGAGAAGGAAAATATGATTAATGAATCTGAAGTTGAGTCCAGCCTTGGAATCCCTTTTGAACGGCAAAGCCCAAGTTCAAGAGACACAGAAATGGTTCGGCCGAGTTGTTATACACCTTTGAGGTCTCCATTGTTGCACAGGATGAGTCCTAGAAATTCTGAAATCTTTCGTCATCAGCAATATAATTGTCACCGGAAAATGTCACAAGATGATAATGATGCTGAGAGTCTTTCCTTTGGTAATTATATTGTATTATGGTCAGTTGTTGGCCCTATTTATATTTTTATATTAATTATATTAACAGCTTAGCGAAAAATTAAAATTTTCGCTCTCGTTGGCTCTCAAACCGAAAATCACAGATTATATATATCTTTGAATTTCAAGAGCCGAAATATAATAATTTCAATTAATTATATTATTTAATTTCAGATATCAATAAGAGCATTAGAGAAATAAAATCTCTATGCAAAACTACACTTGTGCGAGTGGAAGAATTGAGCAGTAAAGTTGATGTCACAATTATGAATCAGACGCGACTCAACCGGTCTCTTCTTCCAGCTGAGAAAAGAATTATTCGTCCATCAGATCTACCGGCTCTTCCTGTTTATACAGAGGATGATCTGAAAGCTATGGAGAGATTTTTGGAAGACGAATCTAATTTGTCAGCAATGGTAAGTTTAAGGATGTTTTGTATTGATTTTTCACGTGTAATATGGAGTCTCTCTACACAAACATATCCGAAAATGATGCCTCTGATTTTTTGTATTTACTCTATACATGCTTAATTCTACTTGCACTGTTTTATATCCCTATGCCAGCGAACTGTAAATGTAATTGTTTGATTTTTAGGTTTATTATTTGGCTTCATTTTCCTTGAATAAAATTGAAGGAAAAGCAGCTGCTCAAGTTATGGCAAAGTTGATATCTAATGTACTGGCCTGTTCCTACAATTTTAAGGGTACTGACGGAAGTGGAAAAAAAGGCTTTCAAAATCTGCATCTTTGGGAGGTGGTTCAAGGTATGCATTTAAAGGTTTTTGAAGATTATTGAATATTTGAATAGTGACTTTTTCTTGCTATTAGAATATATATATACTGGAAATGTAAAGTATATCTACAATTTTCTTCCACTGTTTATGTATACAATATGGGTGTAACCATTTGGGAATTAATATATATATTTTGAATAATTCATATCTTGAAATATCAAGCTGATGCGTATTCTTTGATGTAAATATATCAACTCGATTTGATCATTGCTTTCCTAAATTGTGTCATTAAGGACTGAATGGATAGTCTGTAAACTGTATTGGTATTTATTAGCAGAAAATGTAATTATATGTCATATATTTCAGGTGTGATACAAATGCGATTTCCTGAGAGTGATCTCTCAGATGCCAAAGATTCTGTGATGTCCTGGTTGCGAAATGCTCCCTGGCGGAAGCAAGAGAAAGGATCTAACACTGGGAAGAGGAAGAGCAAGAGCTTTCTAAAAGAAAGCTCTTAAGTACTTAAGAAAACAAGACAATAAGTTTTTTCCAGTGTTACCTGTAACATGTGATATTTTTTGCTGATAGTGATATAGGGTTATGATATAGGTATAGGTTGTCTATTAGTGATCAAAATAATTGTAATGTCCATTAGTTATTTAAGGCGCCCAGCGCAGATGTAAAATGGGCCGTTTCTACTTCCGATTTTTTTTTAGATTTACATGCACTATTTACACGAGATGTTTTACACGAGCAACAAATACGAACAACTGTCTATATACGCTTGCTATATAAGATCTTATTGCTTTATCGTGTTACTCTTTTATAAAAATTTTTTTATGATTTCTTTATTGCACAAGCCACTCTATGTGATCACTTTTTGTGCAATTATTATAAACTGATTCATATTTGAGTGTAAGATTTTATTTCCATGATTAATTTTTTAATTTTCCACATATTAATTGCGATTCTTGTGCACATATTGCTTTTTTATTGGACAAAACACAAAAGTAGAGAAATTGGAAGTACTTATTTGGTCCTAAAATATTTAGTTTTTTTACACTCGAAATTTCAATACTCGAATAATCGATTTACATTTCTATTTGTTTTTTTAGCCCCATATTTTATGTATTATGCAATAGCTGCAATGATATATAATTACGACAACTTTATATATAAAAGAATAACCCCTTAGTCCATTATTAGTGATAAAACCAATTGTGATGTTAGATGATGTAAGACTAATGAAAAAATAATATTTTTGTTTTAAAATAAACATTGATTTTATCTAATTATATATATATTAAATTTTTTATTATTTCCTGCAATATTTGTCTGACTTAATAAAAATCGATTTGATGTCGATTAGACGTCGATTACGTCAACAGGTAATCGACATGAGAGACAAAAAGAGATCGATGTCGATGTCAATTTCGATCTCATTTCGAACCCACATATTGATATCGATTCGACGTCGGAACGACTTTTCGTGTCTCACTGGGAAGTCTTTCACCTGTGAATAATATTAAAGTTTATTTTTGTTAAGCCATGGTAGATTATTTAGATCTGTCAATAAATGTCCTTTTTGTTGTTGGATTATTCTCATTACAATATTGGAAATTACTGAGAAATAAGGAGCAGGTAGAAATTCGAATTCATTTTCTAAATCTGAGTTTATTAGGGTATATTAAACGTCTTAAATATATACATAAACCTTCTATGCCTACAAAAATTCAGAAGAATCTTTGTTATATTTATTTTTTATTACTTATTGTTATATTTATTTTTTATTAATTATTGTTATATTTATTTTTTATTATTTACCTAAAACGACATATCGGTTTTCTGTTTCTATTCGATGAGGTATGCCAAGAGCAGTTGTAAGTCGTCCTATGTGTTCTCTTTCAAATCGAAATTTTGTTTTACATTCTTCTGGTGTCAAATTATTTACATCCAATCTTTCGTATATTTCTGATATGGACATTTTCGCGAGGTACTAATAACTCGTTTATAATAACATCCTCTACTAAATTAAAATCGAAAACAGCAATGTCTAACAAATCCTCCATTTTTATACCTTCATTTGAATATCTTTTCGTTGTATATAGCGTCCGTTACGCAAAAACTCTTTTTGGTTAGAGCACGCAATGGCAAAATACGGTATTAAGTCACATGTCTTTAACGTTTATCGTATCTAAAAAGACGGTATTACAAAAACTCTCTAATTCCCATATAGGAATAGCCAGACTTGACAACAGGGCCAATGCTTGACCCGATATATGGTAACCGATGATTAGTCGATACTTGGCATTCTATATTAGCCCATGCTTGGGGAATGATTGGGTGCATTTACATAAGAAATCGCTACACTTTGCTACAGCGCCAATGCTTGGCCCGATATACGGTGACCAATACTTGGCTTACAGTATTCGCCCATGCCTGGCTTACTGTATTTGCCCATGCCTGGCATTTTCGAATTTGCCAGAAAATTCTAGAAACTTGGCAGGTATAAAAAAGTCAACTTGGACAAAGTGACAATGTCGCAGAATTATTATAAACAAAAAAAATTTCGAAAATTAAAAAAGCTAAAAGACAATAGGTTAAGTTGTAGTAAGACAGTTAATAAAAAAGTTGACGAAAATAGCAGCGGTAAGGATGATATTGACACTAATGTGCGATTATGTGAGGTTATGTTGGATAATGAAGAAATAGTCAATGTGAGTGAGAATGATTCTGTACATAGCAATAGCATTAATGACAGTAATATTAATTCTCCTCATGAAAATGATTAAAATATTAGTGTAGTGTTATGCAATGAAGAAATGAATAGCGTCTCTGATTTGAGAAGTAAACTTCAGCAGTGGACACTTGATAATTTGGACACTTTGCGGTTGAATGTTGTGACAGATTTGTTACGAATACTACGGGATGTAGGATACTCATCTTTACCAACGACTGCCCAAAGTCTTTTAGGAACAAAACACCATCGAGTTTTACAGCAAATAAAAAGCAATAAAAATACTCAGGGAGAATATATTTATATCGACATAGAACATGGTTTGCATCAGGTTATTAATACACAAATATTTATGGAAAAAGAAATCTGTGTATTAGTTCACATTGATGGTGTGCAAATCTACAACAATTCACAAATACAAGTTTGGCCGATTATTATGAAAATATTTCATAAAGAATACAATTGTGAACCTTTCACAGTTGCTGTGTTTTGTGGTGATTCCAAACCTGCAAGTGCTCATGATTATCTAATTGATTTTGTAACAGAAGCGACTAAATTAATTAATCAGGAGTAACAATCAATACAAGAATGTATTCTTTTCGAATAATTGGAATTATAGCTGATTCTCCAGCAAGGTCATTTATAAAATGCATTAAACCACCCGGTGCATTCTACGCTTGTGAACGATGTTTAGTTAAAGGAATCAGCGTTGGAAAAAAATTGAAGAAAAAAAGAATATATCCTGAAACAAATTGTTCTAAACGTACAAAGAAGTCTTTCGAAGGCCGAAATCAACCGCAGCATCATAAAGAAAATGCTGTGTCTCCATTGTTAATGTTGCCAAATTTTGATATCATTAATGATGTGGTTTTAGATTCTATGCATTTATTATATCTCGGAGTGATGAAATATTTAATAGAAAATTGGACTGTGAAAAAAAGCTCTGCAAGACTAAAACGAAGAGTTATCAATAATTTCCACAGAATAATATTAAATGTTATAGCTGATGTGCCTTGTGAATTCCAAAGAAAAAAATTTGATATTAATCTCGTTTCAAGATGGAAAGCTACGCAATTTAGATTTTTTCTATTCTACTGTGGTTCTGTCGTTTTAAAAGATGTTTTATCTGATCATCATTACAGACATTTTTTACTGTTATTTGCAGCATGTCGTATATTAAATAGCAGTGACTTATCGTTGACCACTTGTAATTATGCTAAATATTTGCTAACTCAATTTTTCATATTATTACTGTCACTGTATGGAGAAAGTTCTCAAGTCCTCAGTATGCATAATTTAATTCATGTAGCAGACGATGCGATAAATCATAACATTCCGTTAAGTGGCATTTCAGCATTTTGGGGTGAAAGCTACATTGGATTTTTTAAAAAATTAGTCAAATCTCCAAATAAACTATTAACTCAAATAGTTAATAGATTATCTGAATTAAAATCTGGAAATCGTTTAAAAATTAAAAAAAATTATATATCAAATTGTGTAATAGATGATGGCGCTGGACTATTTACTTATAATGGAAATGATTATAAAATTATATCCTCAATTAAAATGAATAATTCTACTTTGAGATCAGTTCATCCTGATAACACTGTTTTACTAAACAATTCACAAATCTTCGTTATTAAACAAATTATGAAGAAATATAATAGAAACGAAAGTGATCTTATTACGATTGAAGACATTTTTGTCTTGGGATATGAAATGACTAATCAAAGTGAGGCCTTTGATTATTCACTTTCATCAATACAATCAGCGTTTTTAGTGGAAATGGATTTATTGCATCGTATAAATTACTATCAATTAAAATGATTAAACACAAATGTGTTTTATTAAACATAGAAAATAAATTACACGCAATTACTCTGCTGCATTTTTAATAAATTTTAAGTGGCAAGTGACATCTAAAAATATGTATATATATAAAATAGAATATATAAAATAAAATAAAATGTATAAACAAGAAAAAAATATATATAAAAATATATAAAATACAATAAAATAAAATTTAAAGAAAATATATATAAAATAAATATAATAATAAATAAATATAAAAGTATCAATAAGTGTGTAATATATATATATGTAAAAGTGATGATGTA